TGAGCCTTCGGCTCCGACGTTATTCCACAAACGAGCCCTTCTCCTCATTTTCTTGAGGGAAATTCTATCTGTTAATTAATGATTAATATGACTTGAATCTTCGGCTCCAGTGGCAACAAAGTCACGGTAAGAGTGCATTCCCCTCTTCTCAGATAACAGTTTGAATTCAATTATTTGTAAACATGTTCAAAAAAAAAATTTGTAACTTGAAAAGAAATATTTATTTTTGGAATTTGACTCTTAACAATCATTATGTTAGAAGCAATATTTTTCCAATTGGACCGCAAGTTGCAAATGTCTGGAAGAAATCTATTACCATTTCGCAAGGTAACCACAGCGATATAATGAAAGCACGTGGTCAATGTTAGTAAATGTCAGTTTGTTTTTTTAGTACCAACTGTCTGCAATTAAAAATTATATTAAATTTTAATTAATTTATAATTAAATCATGTTAAATTTTATATTATAAAAAAATTTATACTTATTTTTTTATTTATAAAATTTAAATTTAAAATTTTATTTAAAAAACCAAACTTATTATATCCAAATTAATAAATTGTTAGTAGTAATTGTCAGTTTGTTCGCTACTTGCTAGAGAACAATGGCTGCAAACTTGCAGTCCAAAATCAGGGTCAAAACCGCGTACAATTAGCGTAAGGTACGTCTAGAAAAATTAAGACACATTTGTCGTTTCAAAGAAAATGCCTACGTCCCATAAAAGTCCACGTAGGAGTACAAAATATTTTGATGCATTTTTTTTATTAATTTTTTGATATTTAATAATCATATTAGATTTCGATTAATTTGAAATTGAATCATGTCAGATTTTATTAGAAGAGAAATTCTCTTAACATATATTTTTTCGTTCACAAAATTTAAATTCAAAATTTTACTTAATAAAACCAAATTTTTTACACTCGACTAACAAATTCCTTCTACTCGACTAATAAGCTGTGGTTAAAGTATTTCTTCTATTACAAGATAATCTCTGTAATTCTAAATTAATGATTCTTCGTGGAATCGTCCAACTATGGACCAAACAAATTTTTTTTTTTTTTTAAAGCACAAGACAAGGAGATGAAAATGAAAATATATTTTTATTAAAAACTTTGATCTGGACATTTTAATAATAAAAAATATCATATTATATTTAATTATAAATTATTAAAAAACTCATATAATTTATAGATAGAATTTTAATAAAAAGTTAATGATAAAATAAAAAAAGATATTTACCAATTAAATCTTCAAAAAATATAATTAATGATTAAAACTATCTTTGTTCTTATTTTTCTACTAATCATAATAATATAATATAAAAATATATAAAAATAAATGAGTTTTCTATTTTGGGTTGCAAAATTTATACAAACTAAAACAAAAACTCAAAATCATATTTATACTAAACTAAACTTGAATTTTTAGTTATTGAATTTTAAAACTATTAGCCAAAATTAAATAGTTCTAGTTTTATTTTTTAGTTTTTAAGAATAACCATATAAATTGATTTTGGTTTTAACTTAAAAATTATTTCTACATTTTTATATTTTTTAATTTCTTAATTATTATTTTATAAATTTCAGTTATTAAAAATATAAAAAAAATACACAAATAAACAAATAATTTAATTAAAAGTAATCAAAAACCTTTAAAAAAATCCAAAAATTATTAAAAATTTTATATAAAAAATTTTTTGTGCCTGATTTTTTGATTATACTCATTTGGGTTTTTTTTTTAAAACCTAACAATGAAAATCTAAGTAGCCTGAGATTGATTTACTTCAAATTTTAGTAAAAAAATTCTAAAACTTAACCAAATCCAACCACTCATTTATAATTTTGGTCATTTTCAACTACATTTTCTGATGCGGATTTTTCGGGCACCGTACGTCCATAGCTGCATTTATTCAAGGTTAGTTAATAGGTTATCATCCTTTCTAAATAATTAATATCACATTTTTTTAAAATAATTATTTATTATATTTTTATAATAATTTTTTAAAAAAATTTAAAATTTTATTTTTTAATAAAATAAAAATATAATAATTAATTAAAATAAAAAATATAATATTAATAATTAAAAATACAACAGTAATATCGATTATTTATTATTTTTTTTTTCGATTTCTTGCCTGGTATCCGAGGTTTCGTCCCGACTAATCTAGATTCAACCCGGGTCGTGTAACTGAAAATGGTGGGTGAGTCTCTCAATGAAGACTGCTGCGTACGCAAGAACTCAAACTCAAGATTTTGCTTAACCTGAAACAAACCGCTTACCACTTGATCTCATCTTTCTCAGTGGATATTTATTAATTTGTTACGCCTTACGCGTAAAGAGTGATACACGACATACGGCGAGCCGGACGTCGACAGGCAGCAAGCAGGTCGCAACAGGTAAAACTGTCAATTGAAATTAAAAAAGCAACGCCACGTGGATCTGAGTTGACGGTGATGCTGAGGAGAATCAGAATATATTTTTTCAATTAAAATACCAATTTAATCCATCAACTTTTAAATTTATATTAAAATTATCTCTCAACTTTCAAAAATATTAAATTATTCTTAAACCTTAATTTTTAGTATCCAAATAGTCTTCAAACTTTGAAGATATTACCAAATTAATCCTTAAAATTTGAAGAAAAATATCAACTTAATCCTTAAATTTTGATTACAAATATTAATTCAGTTTTTCAATTTTGACTATATATAAATTTGATATATAAATAAAGATATAACATGTTAGTAAAATATAACTATTTAATTTTACTTATCATTAATATTTAAAAAAATTAATTTTGCAATAAAATAACAAGTTATGTGACACTTTTATTAACTGAAAGACTTTTTTAGTATTAAAAATTAAAGTTTAGAGATAATTTTGATACATTTTGAAGCTAAACATTAATTTTAATATAAACTTAACAACTTTGACTATATATCAATTTGATATACAAAAAAATATATATATCATGATAATAAAATATAACTATTTGATTTTATATGTATTAATATTTTTAAAAAAATTAATATTTTAATAAAATAACAAGTTACGTGACATTTTTGTTAACTAAAAGACTTTTTAATATTAAAAATTAAAGTTTAGAGATAATTTTGATACATTTTGAAGCTAAACAATAATTTTAATATAAATTTAAAAGTTAAGGACTAAATTCACATTTTAACCTTTCCAACTCCCCAAATAAATATCCCAGCACTCCTACCTATCTTTATTTTGGTAACTGGGACCCGCATCCCGGCGGTTTCTGGGTAATTGGTGGAGGGTGAGCTGCTAGCGGTTTTATATGGAAGTAAACAAAAAGAAAGATACATTTTGAGGACGGAATTGGAGTGGCCGCCATTGAAATTCTCTACCTCATCGGTGATGTAATCGCCTTCGTTATCACTGGATTGTCACTGGAGTTCGAGACAATTTGTTCCTTTTTATGCTTAATTATAGATTATGCTTGCGTGGCTTTGCTGAAAGGGAAGATTATCCTCAGTTCATCTAAAGTCCTCATCAGGATTTCGTGAAATTAGGGAAATCTTCGTTTTGGGTAGGTTCGTGGAAGAAGAAACACTGAGCTCTGGAGATTTTGGGCATTTTGGAGAGAAGGAGGTGGATTTGGGTTTTGATCATTAAGTTGTGAAATTGAAAGATGGCTTTGGTGAGTCCGAGTCCTGTAATGAGCTCGATGGCAATTCATGGAGTTCCAGCTCCGGGAATTATGACAAGTAGAAGAGATCTTGTGGACGAATCCATGGCGCTTGTAATTGAGGAGAAGATTTACGTTGCCCTTGGGAAAGAAATCGAAAAGAACAAATCTGTTCTCCGTTTTGCAATACGGATATCAAGAGGGAGGAGATTATGCATTATTCATGTTCACCAGCGGGCACAGCGGATTCCAGTACCAAGTAAGTCACTTGATAACAGAATTGCGCATGACCTGTTTGTTTCATCATTTTAGTTTAAATTGTTGAAGTTTTAACGACTTTTCAGTTATTTGTTTTGTGGGTTGATCTTTTTCAGCAGTGAGTTTAGAGTTTATGGCTAATTTCTTAGTACTGCAATTCATTGAAATAGTTTTCTTTTTTTTAGCTAAACCTGAATGATTTATTTGGAAAATTGATTAATTATACACCAGATTCTCTTCTTGAATGCTTGTTGTATTCACCTATTGAGGAAAAATAATTGATGTTTGTTCTTTCTTGGTTTGCAGTAGGTGCAAAAGTTCCAGTAAAATCACTGGACGAACAGCAAGTCATGGATTACTGGGAAACTGAAAAGCAGAGTATGCTTGGGGACCTGAATCAGTACCTTCATCTTTGTTCAAGAGAAGGGGTATTAGTTTCTTCCTTCTCTTAGCTATTTCAGTTGTCGTTGATTAGAATGCTTTTGGGAGAGCTTTGTATTCTGAATAAGAATAAGATTTATCTCTCAACAAAAATAATTGATTAGAATGCTTTTGGGAGAGCTTTGTATTCTGAATAAGAATAAGATTTATCTCTCAACAAAAATAAGAAAAAGTTTTATAATTGATACAGAATCATATCTTCTTTTGTCATCAATAATAAATGCTGAGTTTGGTGGTCATTTACAGTGAGTTTGCATGATACAGTGGTTATATTTCAGCTCCAAGTTTTCAAAAATGAAGATGTCACTTTTGATATGTGTTTCTTGAGTTGAAATTGATGGGTGCTTTTTGCAAAACACAATTGTCTCATGTGTTAAAATCTTTTACTGTAGGTGCGTGCAGAGAAAGATTATATTGAGATGGATAATGTAGAAAAGGGGATTTTGGAACTGATCTCTAAAAATGGGATCAGGAAGCTTGTTATGGGAGCAGCTGCTGATAAATACCACTCGAAATATGAAAAGCGGTAGTAATCCTTCTTTTGGAAGAGATAACTAGAGTTTCCTTTGTATACTAAGGTTTATCCCATTGCTTTGATATTTTCAGGAAATGGAAGGACCTCAAGTCCAAGAAAGCTATCTCTGTACGTGATCAGGCACCTGCTTCATGTAAGATATGGTTTGTTTGCAGTGGGATCCCCATCCATGTAAGGTAAGGTTTACTGTGATGAGTATCTAAACTTAGACCTCAAGAAGTTTTTAAATTTTTTATGCCACTTCTAATGGCATGCTCAAGTGTCAATTTACTGAATACATGTTATACATGTAAATAAATGGTTTAAATTCAATGTTGTGCCCGAATTTAATTATGATAATCACCACTGCAAAAACATGTCAACACAGGGGAGGCACTTTAGATGACAGTGATACAGAATTGCCATCTCCATTGTCCCAGGCAAGTCCAAGCATTGAAGCTGAGGGAAATAATCATTTCAGAACTCAATCTGCTAGAATACCAACTGGTCAAGCAAGCCCCTCACATTTAACAATAGGTTACCGTAGAGCAGCCACTTTTGGTGGAAATAGTAGCGGGCTATCAACTCTTAGCAGGCTATCAACTCCAAGGAGCAGATCAGATTCAGAAGAGGGTGCTGATGAATCTGATATCTTAACAAGAGGCAATGTCCTAGCATACTCTTCTAATGTCATAGCTGATGCACCATTGGTCCCATCTGTGGGAACCCAGGGGATTGAAAGTGGATTGAAATCTACTTCTCTGCATCTGTTCAACAACGATCTTCATCAGCCATCGCCTCCCAGTGTATGTGCAAAATTTCCATTCTTGAATCGAGTTTGTTTGTGCATCTTTGGCTATTTTTTTGAGGACATTCTTAAGGTTGTTGACTGATTCTGGTAGGACGGAAGCATGGTTGGTGGACCATATGATCAATTTATACAAATGATGCAAAAAGCAGCGAACTCAAGGAGAGATGCATGCGAAGAGGCACTCAGTCGTGCAAAAGCTGAGAAAGATGCTATTGAGGCCATCCGCAGGGTATAGTTTTAGCTATGAGTCATTCATCAACCCCCCCTCCCCTCTTTATTCCCCAAAGAAAATTTGTCTGTCTCTAGGGAGGTGATGCTTTAGTAAATGGCTAAAATGAATTAGAAGTTAATTATAGTTTTTTGGTATCTTAGATAGTCAGAAGTTAATATGCTGGCTAACTATGATTAAAGGAGATGGTCCATAAATCAGCAGATTGTGCTTAATTGTCTTGCCATGGCGGGTTGGATGAGCATAAGAGAATAACACATGGGAAATATTTCTGATGGTTCTTTATTGTTTCAGTTGGTCTCCATTCTCTCTTTATTTATTTATTATCTTCTTTTTTTTTTAAAGAGAGTTTCAGATGGTCCTTAACAAAAAAAATTCTATACATTAAAAAACTCCTTCTGCTCTCCATGCGTTGTCCTTGTGAACATCTGCAAAATTAATGATGACATGCTTGAAATGAAATATAAGGTTAAGAAATCATTTGCTTGAAAAAAAATACAATGTTAAGAACTATATCTTCTTACTAGAGTCGCATGTTATGGGTGCTAATTTGCAGGCCAAAGCATCAGAAGTCCTGTACTCAGAGGAGCTAAAATTGAGGAACGAAATTGAGGAAGCATTAAGAAAAGTAAAGGGGGAACTTGATGAGATGAAGAACAAGCGGGATGAAGTCATGGAAGCACGACAAATTGCCTTGAAGAAGACATCATTGCTAGAGAATGAAGTGGCAGGATCTGAGCATATGGTTAAGGAGTTGGAAGAGAAGATAATCTCAGCTGTGGAGTTGTTGCAAAATTACAAAACTGAAAGAGATGAGCTGCAGATGGAGCGAGACAATGCACTCAATGAGGCAGAAGAGCTGAGAAAGAGTCGAGCAGAGGCCTCAAGTGTTCATGTCCATCAGTTTGTTAATGAGTTCTCTTTCTCAGATATTGTGGCAGCAACTGACAATTTTGATCCCTCTCTGAAGATTGGAGAAGGGGGATATGGGAGCATTTATAAGGGCATCTTGCGTCACACCCAGGTTGCAGTAAAGATGCTGAACGCAGATAGTTTGCAAGGCCCATCAGAATTTCAACAGGAGGTAGGTTCTATAAAACATTGTTTCATGTTATACTCATATTGAGTTGAATCTATGAGTCCATAGATTGTTGTTTCAGAATTTCGCTACTGCATGCTTAGAAGAGGAAAACTGTAGACGTTGAATGACATTTATTGGTTATATTTCAGGTTGATATTTTGAGCAAGATGAGGCATCCAAATCTTGTCACTCTTATTGGAGCCTGTCCTGAAGCTTGGGTACTTATTTATGAATATCTTCCCAATGGAAATCTTGAAGACCGACTTAGCTGTAAGGATAATTCTCCACCCTTACCATGGCAGACAAGAATCCGAATTGCTACTGAGCTGTGTTCTGTGCTCATCTTTCTTCATTCTTGCAAGCCTCAAGGCATAGTTCATGGGGATTTAAAACCTGCAAACATTCTTCTTGATGCTAACTTTGTAAGCAAGCTTGGAGACTTTGGACTCTGTCGGCTCCTAAGTGACAAATCAGTAATCTGCAGGACATCTCCTAAGGGAACTTTTGGCTATCTGGATCCAGAGTTCTATGCAACAGGAGAACTTACTCCAAAGTCAGATGTCTACTCATTTGGAATTATACTATTACAGCTGTTAACAGGGCGTGGTGCCCGGGGTATAGCCAAGGAAGTGCAATATGCAATAGATAAAAAAGCGTTAAAGAACCTCTTGGACCCTTTGGCTGGAGACTGGCCATTTGTGCAAGCTGAGCAGTTGTCTAACCTGGCATTGAGGTGCTGTCAGCTGGACCGAAAGAACCGACCAGACCTTGAGACAGAGGTTTGGCGAGTACTTGAGCCAATGAGGGCTTCATGCGGAGGTTTTTCATCTTCTGGATTGGGTTCTGAAGTGCAATTCCAAGCTCCTTCCTATTTCATCTGTCCCATTTTTCAGGTAAATTCATCTATAGGAGTTTCTACCTCGTTAACACTTTGAATGGCGTTTCTGCAGTGACAGATTTATCCTTCATATAAAAGAAAGTGTTCATAGTTGTAATCCAATGACAAATATTCCTGGTTGACATGGTATTTTGGGCCAATATTATGTTGGAAACTTGGAATTATTGGCATGTGGAGAGGTCTGTAGCACATGCTTAAGTTTTGCTCTCATTATATTTCTACTGCTTTTAACTTCGCAGGAAATTATGCAAGACCCTCAGGTAGCAGCAGATGGTTTCACTTACGAAGCAGAGGCTCTGAGAGGATGGCTGGACAGCGGGCACGACACATCACCCATGACAAGTCTTCCGCTTTCACACTCCGAGCTCATCCCCAACCTAGCTCTTCGCTCTGCAATTAAGGAGTGGCTGCAGCAACAGTAAAATGGATCAGGTCTTCCATTTTGCTTCATAAATCAAACGTCATGTTCATTGTCAATAAATGTAACGAAGAAAACATGACAAAATTTGTCAATATGTCTTGTTGTTAATTTCTTTCTCCATCACATCGTTGTATGTATATACTATATAGTCAGATTGTATTTGCTACAGGAGTATTAACCCAATACATGCAATGTTTCTTGTAAGAAAGAAGCTTTTTCCGAGGGTATTAATCTTAAATATCCTTCTTTTTTGTTTTCTTCTTACTGACAACTGGCGCCAGAGAAGTAAAGTAACTATTTGCAGGAGTCCGTACATGTAAATGTTCGTATGTACTGTATTCCACAGCAGTCGACACTTAAAGAGAATACAAAAAAGGAATCTTAATGATAAAGGTTAGAAAATCGACGGTGCTTTTACTTTCCGCGTGGGACACCCACCCTAGCAAACAATGATAATTGTACTATTCTACAGTTCTACGTATTGAAGCATAATTTTGCACCCTGAAGCCTGAACTCTTTTTTGGCCGAGGCACTTTAAACTGAACTCATTAGATATTTAAATTTTAAATTAAGGAATATTCAGGTAGTATTTTTTTTTTTTTGGATTTTTTATGGTGTTGATTAATTTAAAATCTTAATCAATTAATTTAAGTATTTTAAGGTTTAGAAATAAATCATTTGATCTGAGAATTCAATTTAAATATTGAGGGAGTTTAGTAAAGTTTAAAAATTAAGTTTTTACGTAAAAGTAAATTTTTTTTACAAATATAAAATTTTATAAATGAACATAAAAGTTTTTATTAAAAGAAAATTTGAAAATATTATAAAAATAACTTTTATGAAAGTTTTAAAAGTTATTTTAAAACTTAATTTTGAAAATTTTTTAGAAAAATTTTAAAATTTTTTAGAAAAATATTTACTTTAAACAAATCACTTTTAATCTTTGCTAAACAGACTCATTATTGAATTAAGAGTGGTTCCTGATTTTCAATTATTGATACTTTATAATTGAAATGGTAAAACATCAAATTTTTTTACCTTTTTATTTTTTATTTTTTTGAGAATTTTAAATTTAGTGGAGAAAGGATGAATAAGTATCGGACCAACTAAGGATTTGATCAAGTGGCAAGCAACTTATTTTAGCTTAAGCAAGATCTAGATTTCGAGACTTTGTGTACGCAACAGCTTTCGTTGGGAGATCCACCCACTATTTTGGTGTACAACCACTGATTAAGTCCAGAGTAGTCGAAGCGAAATCTTGAATATCAAGCGAGAAACCAAAAAAAAAAAAAAAAAACCAAAGGATGAATACGTATCGGAGCAGCCAAAGGATGGGAAAAAGCAACACAAGGAAAGAAAAAAAAGGTGAAGAAAGCAATTGATTTAAGGTTTCCGTACGGTTTGGATATTTTCTCTCTTTCACTTTTTCTCAGGAAAAAAATCAAAGAAGAAAATTGTCATTGACTTAGACTTGGAAACTTGTTTTAGAAGATGTGTTTGCCTTCCAATTGTCACTGAAAGTTCACCGCCCACGGCAGCGGCAAGGATGGAGAGAGAGCAAGACAGGGAGCTGATGATCGGCGAAGATACTGTGTGCGTTGCAGTGGGGAGAGATATAGAAGAAAGCAAGCTTACTTTGTTATGGGCAGTGCAAAAGTTTCCGGGCAAAAAATTTTGCGTTCTCCATGTTCATCAGCATGCTCAGACGATCTACTCTAGTAAGTCCTCTCTCCTCCTCGTGAATTCTACTGGGTTCTCTGTGAATTTCTCTGATCAAGTTTAATTTCTATGTTTCTTTTTCTTTTTCTTTTTACATTGATATGCAGTTACTGAGGGTCTCGAAGTAAGCAGACCTGAACAAGATAGGCTCAGGAACATAGTAAATGAAATCAGGGATCGGATCATAAATGATTACCGTCTTATTTGTCAAGAACAAGGGGTAGCCTTTTCTTCTTCAGATTTCTCTTTTTAGTTCCTTTAATTGTTTTTCAACTCAGGGGAAGAATTATTTTTGCCTTTTTTAAGTAACTGGAAAGTTACTGTATTTATCATGGATGGGTGGATTTCTTTGTAATGTTTGGTTTAATTGCAACTCAGCAATGCTCCATGTAGAATTGGCTGATTTTCCAGAGATGGTCTTAAAATTGCTTTGATTAGCTGAAATCATGCCTACATGGGTTTCTTCCCGGAGACATAGAGTCTTGTAATTTAGCATTTTTTGTGTCTTCATGTAGGTGCAAGCAGAAAAATTGCTTATTGAGATGGATGATGTGGCAAAGGGTATTTTGGAACTAGTTGGGCAGCACCACATCAAGTTGCTTGTCATGGGAGCGGCAGCAGACAAGCATTATTCAATGTACAAATAACTTGAGAAAGATGCTCAATTTACTTGGCATTCATTTGCTTAGCTGTTTTTTGCTTTGCACTCAAATGTTGAGATTCCTCATGCAACTGCCTTGATATTGCAGGGGAATGAACCATCTGAAATCTAAAAAGACCTTATATGTGGAACAACGTCTGCCTCCTTATTGTCAAGTTTGGTTTATTTGCAGTGGGAACCTTGTCTGCACAAGGTATGCTTGACAATTGTGTCATTTGGATTTTCAGGTACATTCTTCAAATAGAGAAGCTTAATATTGATGGTGGCTGTGTGACCTGCTCGCGGTTGCAGAAATGAAAATTTATAGTAATTAATCAAAGAGATGGTAATTGTAATTGCATTATATTATTCCCATATAAATGGCATTTGTCTTTATTGCAGGCAAATCAACCCACGGAGTTCTTCGAGTCCTAGTTATTCGACAGGATCTAGTGAATTAGCCAGCAATTTAGATCTAACTGTGATTGAGAGAACAGAAGAGAGTGAATGTGGAAATGAGTCATATGTAATGCTTCAGTCTGGAAGGGATCTTGATCATTTATCATCTGTATGTGCTGGTGCAAATTAGGCTTTTAAATTTCTATATACTTTTCCTGCAGCCTTATTATCCGTAAACTAGAGTTAGATAAATCAATTCTTTCTAAATTTGGCAGCAAGGAAGCAGTAATGGTCAACTAAGCAGTCAACTTGAACAAGCACTATTAGAGGCTGAAATATCAAATCAAGAAGCACTCGAAGAGCTAGCCAAGCATACGAGAGCTCAGAAAATTGCCCACCAGGATATTCGCACCCAGGCAATGTCCTTTCCATTTATTATTTCCCCTCCTTTATGGAAATGCTTCCGCTTTTCTGCAAATGAAATGAGTAGCCAAAGGATTATACCTACATTAATCATTACATATTAAAAGTTAAACATAATGTGTGATAATAACTTGCCACCACCTGACTGTCTTTCAGAGGGAATCTATAAATCAAGTTATGTTTCATAAAACTGTTTCCTGTTCTTTTAGTTTAACAATTTAGGATCAAAAGTCTCAAATGTTTTGTATATTGGTCCTTTTCAAAGGTGAGGTGTTTTTATTTGAAAAAAAAAGAAAAGAAAGGAAAGTCACTCACCTAACCTGCAAGCTGCCAATTATTTTGAACAGCAGCATCCACTGTGAAATTGTAAATAACCAATCAAAGCAATTTAATTATAGGCTATGAAGTTGGAAAGGTTATATGCTGAAGAGTTGGGACGCAGGATACAAACTGAGGCTGAAATTGAAGAGTTAAAGCAGCAAAGAGATGAAGAAGAATTAATTGGTCTGGATCAAAGATCATGGTTGGAGAACCAAGTTGCCAGCTCAGATCAGGTCAAGAAAGAGTTGGAAGATGAGATATCATCTCTCCAGCAGCAATTAGAACAATGCAAGGAAGA